AAAATATTACCAAGGGTCAGGCTACACCATGACTGTGACTCCTTTGCATGGCTGGTAGGAGTGTGAACTCACGTGACTGCTTCGGAACGCAGGTTAGCACTATCTACTAGCTTGAGAATGGAAACAACCTGTGCCCAGGGCTTTCACAAGTGTACCTTGTCTCCCAGGGCAGTGCTTTCCAGAGTGTGACTGCTAATGAGCTACAGCAGCAGATCTGAGTACTTGTTAGAAATCCAGGTTCTGCAGCCACAGCCCAGACCTACTGACTAGACTGGGAGTTGGTTTTAGGAGTCCTCTAGCACCGTAGATCCAGGCAAAGTTTCAGCACCAGTAGAGAAACTTCTTGCTCACTCCAGCAGCAGATTGCATCAGAAGGATACCAGGGATCTGGTCCTTGATGCATTCTCTAGGAAGGGTGCTATGAGGACTTGGTCAGGAGGTAGTGTGGAAACAGTCTGACATCCTCAAGTGTACATATGTTCATATATATGCATAAAATAGAGGCTTATGAAATATCTAAATAAAAACATATAGGGCTGGGGATTTAGCTCAGTGGTTCCGCAGCATGCCTTGTAAGCACAAGGTCCCAAGTTCAATCCCTGGTACAAAAAAAAAAAAGATAGATAGATAGATAGATAGATGATATAGAGCAATAAAAACCAGTATAAGAATGGGTACAATTGCACATTATACAGAAGTTAATTTAAAAGGAGTAAGGGATGGACATGTAGCTCAGTGGTAGAGTGCTTGCCTAGCATGTGTGAGTCCCTAGGTTCAATTCCCAGTACTGCAAAAATAAAAATAATGGTATAGAAATAAATGTATTAACAAGCATACACCTGGAAAATAGAATATAGAATAAAAAAGCAAGCTGCAGAATAACAAGTATAGTATGATACCACATAACATTAAGTTAAAATCTTACCCCAAAAGAAACTGTCTTGATTATGGATAAATAAATACATCTATGGATGAAAGGATTAAGGACATGGGACTGGGAAGTGTTTCCACTGGCTCATGATAATGGTATCTGTGGGTAAGAAAGGAGAGGATTGAATTGAAAGAGGGTTCGAAGAAAGCATCAACTGTTAGGTTTTATTATTTTAAACAAAACTTTAAACTTAGGGAAAAGAGATAAAAGACCTTATATATTCTTTTTTGTCCTGCATATTTATTTATTCATTCATTTACTTTTGGTACTGGGGATTGAACTTGGGACCTTGTGCTTTCGAGACAGGCAGTGGCACCACTGAGCTAAATCCCTGGCCCTGTCCTGCATATTTAATTATTTCATAATACTTGTAAAAGTTAAAAGAAGTACAAATGGCTCCTGACTTACAATGGCTTGGCCTAGACTTTTTTTACTTTATGAAGGTGGGAAATTGGTAATAACCATTCTTCAAGTTTTGAATTTTGATCTTTTCCTGGGTTAGTAATATGCAGACCCACCCCCCTCTCTTTTTTTTTTGGTTCCCTGGGATTGAACTCTGGACCTTACGCTTACAAGGCAGGAGGTGGAACTATTGAGCTAAATTCCTGGCCCTGCAGACCCTCTCTTGATGCTGGGCAAGGGCCAAGAGCAGCCATTCCTGTCAGCCATGCCATCATGAGGAGAAACAACCAACCCCCTGCAGTGCACCTAGCTGGCTTTTTGGATATTGTGATTTCTGTTTGCACATGTCCCATTATATCTACAAAATGCCTGTCTATGTCTTCTGCTTCTGGTGAAAATAAAAAGAAGGCAATTACTCTGGAGAGAAACTCAGAAAGCTACCCAGCATGAAAACTGAAGAAAACTGCCCAGCATGAAAGCCACATTCCAATAGTGACCATCACATGTGTGAATTGGGACTTTTAACACAAATAGCTTGACCATCTTAAAGCATAAAGAGTGGATTGTGACATAGTAAAATTGTCAGCATGAGGTACATCCACTATGAGCATAAAGAAAAGGGCTGGACCAGTTGTTGACACACACAATTCATCACGTGGATGGAATAGCAGCTAAGGCAGTGCCTACCACTTTGCCTAATGATGACCAAACCCTTTCCTGTTTGTTACAAGAGCATGCTGGTGATCTTACATGTTCAGAAATGTTTGTAGAAAGTCGTGGATGGTTCCAAGGCATCACTGTTTTCATAATCTTTTCAACATGAAGGTCAGAAGTAAGGCAGCAAGTGCCAATATCAAAGGGGCCAAAACCTTTATCAAGGAAGAGATGCATAGGATAACTGTAGATGAGAAATACCGCAAACACAAAAGTTAGTGTTGATGAAATGACTGCTCCAGAAGCATATTCCAAAGAACAAAGCACACATTCCCCAAGAGGTCAAGAAAATATGGCATTCAAGGTATTCAAAGACTTTGTGATGCTGCTCTGGAATGGAAATGTTGCACATTCAAATTAAATCCTTTCTTTTCTACTACCCAGAGAACCCTACAGCATTCAAGATTGTGAGCAGGCATTTACTTCCTACTTATTATCACTGTAAAAAGAAAGCCTGGATAACATCGTCCTTGTTTGAAGATTGGTTGTCTTAGTAACTTTCTGAGAAAGCCACGGAGAGCAATGCCAGCCCAATAGAGAAGCTATGAGGGCAGCAAGCACTGGCAGTGTCTCAGGGGAAGGGCCGCCCAAGCCATTTGGAGTTTGTGTCTTACCACAACCTGCCCCTGGTGCTGGATATGGGGCTACAGGATTTAATGTTTGCTCTGCTGGGTTTCAGTTTACTTTGATCTGATTCCTTTCTATCTTCCTGTTCCTCCTTTTGGGGATGGGAATGCCTGTCCTGTGCCATGGTATGTTGGAAGTGTTTAACTTATTTATTTTTTAACTTCTTTTTGACTCTACAAGGATCACGGCTAAAAGTTTAGGTCAGAAGAGACTCTGGACATGGATTTTTCAGCAAGGTCAAAACTGTTAGGACTCTGGCAACACTTAAGAGAAGAACTAAGTAGATTTTGCATGAAGGGATATACATGAGTCGTTGGGGGAGCAGGGGAGAAATGTTACGGTTTATACCTAGATGTCCCCGAAGAGCCTCATAGGTGGAGCTTTTGAAAAGTGACTGGATTATGAAGGCTTATAGATGACTTGCTGTTAGGAAGTGGCATTTTGTCAAAAGATGCAAGCCGCTTGGGCTGTGGCCTGGAAGGGTTTATCTGCCTTCCAAAGTCCTCCCTTCACTCTCTGCTTCCCCACAGCCACTCTGTGGGCATCTCTTCTCCACGCCCCTAACCATGATGTCCTGCCTTGGAGCCAGACAACTATGGACTGAAACCTCCACGAACTTTGAGCCAAAATAAAACTCGCTTCCTTTAAGTTGTGGATGTTGGGCATTACAGCTCAGCAATGAGAAATCGATTGAAACAAGGCCCCACCTCCTAACAGTACCTTCATCTATTGACTCACGAATGGATGAATCCACTGATGAGTACAGCACCCCCTCACTCCAATCAAATTCCACACACAAGAGAATTTGGGAGGAATTTTTGTAGAACTAAAGCATAGCAGCGAGTACCCATAAAACTATTCCATTTCCACATTCTGTGCAGTATTCAGTAAATCACATGAGAAACCCAATACTTGAATATCACTTGAGCTTGTGTTAGATTATACGATTTTTCCAACTGTGGGCAAATATGTGTTCTGAACATGTTTACAATAGGCTGGGCTAAGTAATGATGGTCTGCACGTTCGCTGCATAAAGTGCCTTTTCAACTTATGAGTTTTTTTTCAACTTGCACTGGATTTATCTGGCTACAATCCCATCAAAAGTCAAGCAGCATCAGCAGTTCTTCATCCTTATGATCAGAAAACTTTATTTCTGTGTAAGAAGAAATTTTTCAAAATGACTACCTCAGGAAATTTTGAAAAGTTGAATCTTTGTGACATCTAGTGGTAGCATAAAAATTGCTATGATTTAAAATAATCAGAAAAAAGTTTGATTCAATGTATTAATATGTGTATTCTTGGTTTAATCTGGTATTTCAGAAGCTTCTGCTTTTGAAACAATCCTTAGCTTTTGTTCTCTGTGTGCTCTAAAACAGAAAAGATTCACAACATGGACTTGGATTTAGAAAAAAGTGAAGGAAGTGAAGTTCTTCCAAGGACCCAGGATGTACCTGAAACATTAAAGAGCCTAAGAGTATAGAACCCACATCTTTAGTGAGATCTGCCCTTCACTTCTGCCCAGTGTTTGTACCCACTGATTGATGTAGAAGAAATGATGCTGCTCAGCACTCTGAGACTTTATTTGGTTCCTATTCAGTTTACTCTATGTGTCCACTCTCTGCAACATCCCTGGGTGTCACAACTCCAAAGAAAAAGGGAGGACTTGAATGCCCAGCTAGGCATAGAGGCGAGTTACCTTATGTGCTCTTGAGTGAGGGTGATGAGCCAAGCATGAGAAAACTCCCCAGCAGGCAAAAGAGAACACTCTTTTCCCCAGCTGAAGTCATATCATAGAAATGCAGATCATGGGTTCCCACAGAGCGTCTCCTCCCAACAGACTACAGAAAGCACTGCAACCATTACCAGCAGAAATCAATCTTTCTTTTTTTAAAAAATCTGATTGAGTTTATTGGTACTGTTTAAGTATACAGCATAGTTACATTCATCATTGGAGCAATCAATCTTTCTAATGCAGGTCAGAAGCTCCTAAGCCTACCACAGTGCTGGGCCCCTTCACCCTAGCAGCCCAATGAGTCTCCTCTTAGGCCCTCTTGTTCTGCATTGATGCACACATTCTTTGAGCTCATTCACCTCTTGCTTCTGTTGGCTGCTTCAACAAACTCTCTTCTTTTCACCCAATGAAACCACACAAATAATCTTGAGGCAATCAGACAATGTTCTAAAGCTACTCTTAAATCCTATTTATAAAATTGTCTTTAGAAGTAGAAAGAGTAGAGTTCAAGTTTGAAGGGAAAAAAACACAAATCAGGGGCCATAGTCTGAAAACTTGAAGCAAGAAGAGAAATTTATTGATATTAGGCTGGTTGATCCTACAAGTCTTGATCAATGTTTAATGCAACCTAAAGGCAAAATAAAAGTAAATATACTTTAATACAATGAAAACTATGAATGAGTTAAAAGTCAACAAAAATAAGAGTTCAAGTAATTCCTATGTGACTATGTAAATACGCTTTTTGAGTTTCAGGTGATGTCAAAAAATATCCAAAGAGAATAACATCATAAATTATGTTTGTCAGGTATTTATTATCCCATCCCTTCTTTCATGTGCTCTTCCCTCCTCGTCTTTCTTGTGGGAGTCCTCTTCCTGTGGTCCTCCCTTAGGTTTGGATTCTAGTGGCTTCTCTCAGAGCCCACTGACCTTCACATCCTGCTTTCCTAGGTGCCTTGCTTATTCCCCTCACTCATTAGCATAGGTGCCCACAGCTGATGAATTTAAACCTCCTGCCTGAGCCTCCGTCCCATCCTCCAGACCCACACCATTCAAGTGATCTTCTGCTACTGTGTCCTGAACATCTCAGGGTCACCTCTCTATAAGCCTTGCATCCTGCATTCAAAACCATTACTTCTTATTCTTAATGTTGCCCATGGAAGGAGTTTGACTTCACCTTGTACTCCATCTGTCCCTTTTCCACTAAGCCAATTTCAAGCACTCAGATTTCATCTCCACTGTCTAACCTTGCTCATCTGGCATCTGATGACTGCAGTGGCCCCTTTTCCATGTCTGTGCCACTCTAATCCTCTTCCATCTTCTGAAAACACAGGTCTAAGCCCTAAAGCCTTTCAGTAATTCCCATTGACCTCAAATCCAAGCTCCCCAACACAACCTGCAAAACCCACCATTGTCTGGCCTCTCCTCCTCTCCAGCTTTAATCTCACCATCCTCCTGGCTCCATGCAGACCAGGCACAGTACTATACTGCTTCGTCCCCTGGGCAGCAGTCTCCTCTCCTTCATCCTCTGGGCTCATTTCAGGCTCAGACCTTTAACTTCAGGTTCACAGGATGACTTGTCCAGACAAGTCCAGTCTCCATGCCCTTGTCCCTCAGAGCATTTTCCTGGTGGCTCACAGCCCCTACAGGAAGGTGTTTTGTTCATGTTAACTTACTAGCTCCCTGCAGTGTAAAATCTTCACATTTAATAAAAATGTATCACAGAGTCCTTCCAGCCACTTCCTGAACAGCTCTTGAAAACATCCTTCATGTCAGGCCCCCAGTGTCTTGTCTTGTCTAGGTCACTTTAGATTTCTGCCAAAGTTCCCAGCTGGCCTCCTTACACCTACTTCCCCATTCTTTTCCCCACACTATGCAGTGTAATTGAAAAGTATGGCCAATATTTAAATTTTTAAAAATGTATTACAGTGGGCTGGGGATTTAGCTCAGCGGTTCGGTGGCCTGCCTTGCAAGCGCAAGGACCTGAGTTCAATCCCCGGTACCAAAAACAAAAAAAAAAAAAAAGAAAAAATGTATTACAGTAAAAGACGCATAGCCATCAGTCCTCTAAAAATACTCCCTCTCACTTTGAACACATATCTCACTGTTCTTGCCACTTTCTGGAGCAGCTTTGAAGGTCCTCTTTCATGCGTATCTTTACAAGATGTGATCAAAGTGTAATGAATGCAGCTACTGAGGACACACATTAAGGTGTGTTCTCACCTACCTGTTCACTAGATCTAGCACCATGAAACTTGTGGTCCTTTTCAAAGGCAAAAGGGCCTTGAAAGCTAAATGTTTTAAATCAGTTCAGGATACTGAGGCAACCACCACAGCACAACTAATGACATTCACGAAGGAGGACTTCCAGAACTCATTCAGAAAGTGGCCAGAATGACAGGATAAGTGTTTTAAAGCAAGAGGGAAGACTCTAAGGGGGCGTCACAGAAATGTGTCTTATGTAATAATGTTTTTAATTAAAACATTCACCATATTTTCTGACCACACTTTATATAGTCAGAAGGTCTTTCTAAATACAGTTCTCATCCCATTGGCCTCCAATGCCTGCATGATCAAACTTAGGTGTCTGAGCAGGAATTTAAAATCCTTTTCCTGAGCTCTGCCTGCCTCATCCTTATGCCTCATCCATCTCCCCCTACTCTAAACTCTCTTCCACCTGGATCTTCACATGGCCCAGGGTCTCTGCCTTGAACATTTCCTCAGCCTCCCACTACACCCCACAGAACAAGTCATCAACTTCCTTCCAGAGCGTGCCCTGACCAAGGCTTCTCAATTGTGTTCCTGTCCCATCTCATCAATGCACAGGGATTAAAGGGACCCACTGTGCCCTTTTGCCAAGACAGTGCTGGTTTATAACCTGCTTGCCTGTCGTAATTGTTAATAGTTCCTCCTCTCTTTCTCAAAACTGTACTTGTCTAGACAATAAACTACTTTGTCATTCTTATAATGAATATCTAAGGTTGGTCAGATTGTCTGTTTCCCCTCTAGACAATAAACTACAAAGTCAAACAATCCGTCTTATTCATAACCACATCTGGTACGGCACCCAGCACCCCAAAGACATGAAGTGCTTGGCAAACAAATGTACTTATATAATGTACACTGGGATATGTGTCATCTGTAGTTTCTGGGTTTGCTAATAAGAACCAATATAGTACCCTTCCCTGAAAATGTACAGATTAGTAATTCACAAAATTATTTTACATGTATACTTTGAAGACATTTTGGTATTTTCAACCTAAGTCCAAAACATACAGATACAGATGACACAGCTATAGATACAGTACAGAGACAGACAGAGGTGAAGATACAGATTTGCCAGTGACCCACTTCACAAGAGGGCAGAGTGTACACTAATATTACGGTCAGCAGCCAGTGGAACTGGTTTTCTCCCTATGAAGCAAAAGGTCCATTTTCCAACCAACTTTGGCCTCATAAGCACCAGGCTTTATCAAATTTAAAAGCAACAATAAAAGTCTGTTTTTTTTTTAACAAAGTATTTTGATACTTACATCAGATAACATTGGCTCATCAACTTCTTCCACTCTGCTCAAGTTAGGTGCACCATATCTATCACTAATTTCTGCTAGTGTTTTGCCCGACTCTTGTGCTCCTTCCTACAATCACAAAGTTCCTTTTTACTTGCATGACTTAAAAATTAATATATTACCTTTCTTCAGGGACAAGGGGAAAAAATGAGAACCAAGACCTGTCATGTAAAGGTACAAGATCCCAGTAATGAATGTAACTGTACTGTATACCTAGAATGTACCAATAAACTCAATAAAAAGGAAAAAATATATTATCTTTCTTTAAATTTTGATATAATATCTGAATTAAAACAGCAAAATTCAAAATTGTTAATTAATGGAATCAACCACTATCTATAAAGGGACAGAGATTTCTAGTAGTAAGTGCTAAAATTTATTTAAAAAGATACATTCAGAAACTTAAAATGTATAATTTATAAGTAATTCTGTGGCAAATGTCTCAGCATGTTCTAGCTTCTAAAAACATATGCACACTGAATCCAAGTTTTGTTTATTTTGAGATTTTACTTATCACAATATATATATGGACTATCATTCTGACATACCCTTATTAAAACGTTGGCTACTGATGCATAAAAATTAAGCTTTAAATTCTAGGATCTTCATTTGTTTTACATAACATATCTATTTTTTTCTCACCTCTGAATGTGAGGCATCTTCTCCCTTGCCTATATTTTCCATATTCATTCTCATCTTCTAGAGCACATAAAAATCAAGAAAACACTTAACTATACTTCATTTTGATTCCATGTTTAATTTTTAAGCATTTTATTTTTAAGTAATGCTATGGTTAACAGCAAAAATGCTGTCACTCTTTTAAGGAGTGATCTGAAAACACTTAACCCGAAGTGGCAGATTATAGTTTAAATACTCCATACTAATAGAAGATAACTGTATTTTATTTATAATTAAATAATTTTAAAAAGTGAAATGGGCTAAAATATTAAAATTGAAATAAAATTATTAGGGAACATAACAAGGGACAAAGTAAAAGTTCTACTACAATCTTAGAATAAGAGATTAAAGAGAAGTTGCAGTTAAGTAGAGTTTTATAACACACAAACAAGTAAATATTTCTGAAGGAAATTAATAAAAATTTTCTGAAGGAATTAATTTTGTCCAAGTTACCACTCAATGCCACAGCCTTCTCTTAGCAACACTCTCAAGGATGCTCTGAATGTTGTCATAGCTCAGCAGGGAGGCTGAATGTGAAATGCTTTCTGAACATGAAATGCTCTTGAACTCAGCCAACCCTTGCTGGAACATAGGTCATTTCGGTCACAGGTAGTAGGGCAATCTAGAAGACCTGGAGCAGATTCAGTGGACCATACATAGGGTCACCCTACTTATGGGGATGTGCCTCGTAGTACTATTTTCCAAACTCCATTCTCCTGTACACTCGTGGCTCTGCAGGGATGTCTCCATTCTTATTTGACCATGATTACCAGCCCTAGAGATAGATATTTGGCACAAACTAAGCCAAAATTCTTCTCTTAACTGAAACCAAAACAGATCCATTCCTCTAGGATGTCAGGAGCCACAATATGAAACTCAGACCAGTTAAGGAACACACTGTTCAGTTCTGTGCAGCACAGCAGGCCATCACAAGAGAGAATCAAATGAACAACAAGAGAATAGCAGAGATGGCAGCGTTGGGTTCTCTTGTTCCCACGGTCTGGAAGGTCCTGGTATGCCCACATCCTTCACAGTTTAGGAGTTAAATACTTTCTTCAATTCAGGATCCTTCCAGCCCATTTCCTTTTGAGAATGATAGTTCATACTGTATGTCTTCAGCAATAAATGAGCCAGGGCAAAGGACATGAGCACACTCATCTATGCACAATGGGTGAGGCCAGGATACTTTGTAAGGTGAGATAAGGGATGACAGCCCAGAAAGGATATGACTTAAAGTTACTGTGATTCTGGTCACAAAGGCAGCTAATGCCTAAAGAGAATGAAATATCATGGGTGTGACCCTCTGGAGTCATAAAGCTAGGACCAGTGACTTTAAAGCACTCAAATAAACCTGACAAATCCCGTCAGCAAATAAATAAATAAATACTCTTATTTTTTTTTCTTTTTATTGAGGTTATTGGTACAATCTAGGTATACAATACAATTCCACTCATCATTGGGATTCTATACCTTTACATAATAGATCTTGATTCTCATTTTTTCCCCTTGTCCCTGCCCTCCCTTCACCCCCTCCTCCCCTCTCCATTTACAAAACACTTTATTTCCATTTTTTCAGTTTCTCATATTTTTTTCCTCTCCCTTATTACCTCTCCCCCACCCTTCCCACTTTCCTTACACCTTTAGCCCTTTACTTCCTATTCACATTATTAATTGTCTCATTAGGATCCTGTGTACTATTATAGTTTTTCACACCAAAGAAACTATTTGATATTTCAGTTAAAGAAATCTCTGTATGAACATTAAAAATAGGGAATCCTAAAATAAAACTAAAAAGGAAAGTAAAAAAAAGGCAATGATGTAACATCAAAATAATCCTTAATTCTGAAGATGAAAATGGTCCCTGGACATACTTAAATTGCTTCTCGCTCTTATAGTCTTATCTTATTCTTTTTTCATTATTTAGAGAATCCTTTATTACTTTCTGTAATCAAATCCACGTAGATATGACCTTACATATTTAGTATGATGTGTTACCCATGTACACATGGAAAAAAATAAAACATAAAAATAAAAATAAATTAACATTTCTAGACCAATACGGTTGTCCATTTCTGTACAATGCCAAGTCAACACAGTAAATTGGGATGACTTTTTCCAAAGTTGGCAGCACTGTTAAAGTTTCCCAAAATTCAATTTATATATAT